ATTTACAAGTCAGAATCTAGTCATTATATTTATTATTATGCACAATTTGTATTTATTACTTTATACATGTGCTATAACTGTTGAGCATCACTTGAGTTATCGAATATGTGAAAACTCAGCCAACTGTTGCCTCAGGGATATAATGCAGTTGATATAATAAAACTAAGCCAAATGCCGAACTTACACAAACAGAAGTGACTCATGCTAGTTTTCCCATTCCATTCACTTCTTCCCCTGGAATGTACTAATATCGAGTCAAATCTAATTACCATTTTGCTGAGTGAGTTGTCAACGTTTATTGCTCTGAAGGAAACTAGGAGTGGGGGGAAAACCACATGGATAGGTAAGGGAGACTGGCATAAGGATTAAGTTAAATGTTCCAATTTAATCTTCATTAAATACAAATACTGATGCAAAATAGCATTATACAAAATTAAGCATATGAATCTTACAATAAGTGCATGTTTGTTACCATGTCATCAGTTCAAATCATATAATTTGTTGGACTGTACAGCATGCAGCTTACGACTGAGTAGCTCACTAATGTAAAATGAGATAACACTGTCTGTCTGTTCTACGTTGATAGTGTATTTTTCAGAAATCTTAAAAATATCATTTAAAAAGCTGGTGAGGCTGGTGGGGTTGTGCTTAGAAAAAATGATGTCGATTATACTACTGGTTGGATCCAGTACAAGTGATGGAGGCTAAACAGAGGCAAACAAAGTTTACTCACTTTTTTCATTTGGGAGATATGGAGTTTGTTTAGGTTACTTTTATTCACTTCTTTTCTTACTGCTACACCACTGGATCCAGCATATGGTCAGTCAGGTGTATGTTACTTTGGTGGAGAATGTGCGTGTTTCACAGTGAGACTGTAGCCATACTGGATACTGTGAAATAAACATATAGTACATTGTGGGAGAAACAGTGTATGGAAAGCTTGTATGCTCAAGAGGAAAGAGGGCCAAACTACAGCTCGCAGGCCACATCTGGCCTGCGGAACCATCCTGCCCGGCCCTTGAGCTCCCAGCTGGGGAGCCTAGCCCCCGGCCCTTCCCCTGTAGTTACACAGCTGCATGGGCAGCGCAGCTTGCGCCCGCCCACCTCCCAGGCTTTCCAATGAGCCAGTCCTGCCGCTCTGAGCGGCATGGTAAGGAGGTGGGGAGCGGGGGGTGGGTTAGATAAGGGGCAGAAGGTCCCAGAGGGCACTCAGGGGATGGGGAGCAGGGGGCAGTTGGATGGGCAGAGCTTCGGGGGGGGGAGTCAGGGGACAGGGAACGGGGGGGTGGATAGGGAGTGGGGTACCAGGGGGCCTGACAGGGGGCGGGGGCTTGGATGGGGTCAGGGCAGTCAGGGGACAGGGAGCAGGGAGGGTTGGATAGAGGGTGGGGCCCCCAGGGGGCAGTTAGGGGCAGTCCCAGAAGGGAACGGTCAGGGGACAAGGAGCAGGGGGGATTGAGTGGGTCGGAGGTTCTGGGGGGGGCGGTCAGGGGATAGGGAACAGGGGGGGTTGGATAGGGGGTGGGGTCTTGAGGGGGTGGTTAGGGGTGGGGGGGTCCTGGGATGGGGCAGTCAGGGGACAAGGAGCGGGGGGATTGGATGGGTAGGAAGTTCTGAGGGGGGCAGTCAGGGGACGGGAAGTGGGAGGGGGTGCATGGGGCGGAGGCCAGGCTTTCTGTGTTTGGGGAGGCACAGCCTTCCCTACCTGGCCCTCCATACAGTTTCACACCCTGATGTGACCCTTGGGCCAAAAAGTTTGCCCACCCCTGCTCAAGAGGAACGAGTACAGGGTTATGGGTCAAGAAATCTTGACTTCCCACTGAGTTGGTGGGGCACTTTTCTGTCTGTTTTCCCACCTGTAAATTGGGGATAATCTAATCCACCTATCTCACCAGGGTACTGTGAGGATTTATTTTTAATGTCTGTACAGTGAACATATAAATTGTGTTGTGCTATGGGAAATGTGTGCTTCTCTATCAGAGGCTCGTTCACCTGCACATCTACCAATGTGATCTATGCCATCATGTGCCAACAATGCCCCTCTGCCATGTACATTGGTCAAACTGGACAGTCTCTACGTAAAAGAATAAATGGACACAAATCAGATGTCAAGAATTATAACATTCAAAAACCAGTTGGAGAACACTTCAATCTCTCTGGTCACTTGATTACAGACCTAAAAGTTGCAATTCTTCAACAAAAAAACTTCAGAAACAGACTCCAATGAGAGACTGCTGAATTGGAACTAATTTGCAAACTGGATACAATTAACTTGGGCTTGAATAGAGACTGGGAGTAGATGGGTCATTACAGAAAGTAAAACTATTTCCCCATGTTTATTTCCCCCCTCCACCCCACACTGTTCCTCAGACATTCTTGTCAACTGCTGGAAATGGCCCACCTTGATTATCGCTACAAAAGGTTTCCCCCCCCTGCCCCCGCTCTCCTGCTGGTAATAGCTCACCTTAAGTGATTCTCTCGTTACAGGGTGTATGGTAACACCCATTGTTTCATGTTCTCTATGTATATAAATCTTTCCACTGAATGCATCTGATGAAGTGAGCTGTAGCTCACGAAAACTTATGCTCAAATAAATTTGTTAGTCTCTAAGGTGCCACAAGTACTCCTTTTCTTTTTGCGAATACAGACTAACAGGGCTGCTACTCTGAAACTTAGCATAAGGAGTTAACGTATATTTCAAGGGACCATTCAAGGTGAAGTAGCCTGTTAACACCTCTCCAGTCATGGGGGGGCAAGACCTTCAAAAAACCTACATATGCACAGATAAGTTGACACAAGGTGACTTATGGTGACTTACTTTGTAGTGTAAGCTAGGACTCTGACTCTTCTTTCCCTTTCTTTCTATTTCTTAGCTGCACTTTGGTGTGCTCAGATTGATGGTTGGCTCCAAACTTCATATCCATAACACATCTTAACTCCATCATATATATAAGGAAATTGAATCACAGGACCTACACTGACAACAAATTCTTTCAAGAATACATCAAAGCCATTTCTGGAATAGAAACCTGTATCTGGAAAGTCAAATATGTCAAGTATTGGCCAAGTGTGACCCAGGATATTGGAGACCTGGTAAGAAGTTGTGATGTGGGGAAATGAAGGCCATGAAGCAAAACCAGACAATGGAAAATATACAGCATCCCCAACAGACTTTGGAGCATAGGTGTCATGCTGTCTGGAGTGGCTTACTCCCAATCCCAAAGGACCAGTCACTTACCCCAGGTCAATTGCACTCAGATCTCAAACCAAAGACAAGGCTTGTAGCCAATCCTGTAAGAAACTAACTGAAGGTTTATTAACTAGGAAAAAGAAATGAGTTATTTACAAGATTAGAGCTGGTAAATATACACACACAATATCAGGTACAATCGTAACTTCAAAAGGTAATAGAAGCTTCTATAGTAAGCAAACTTTTACTTATTCTTACTTATTTCTTACTCCTTTAGGGCTAACCCAAGCACTTGGGGATCTCTTGCTTATGTTTAGGAATCTTTGCCCCTTTGGGTCTGGCCAGCAGAAAGAGTCCTGTTTCTCCTTAACAAGCATTTTTATTTCCTTCCCCCAGCATTGATGGGATGCGAGCTTGTTTCCCCTACTCTTCAGGGGGCATGGGGGAAGCAATCAACAAAGTATTTTTTGTCTGATGGCTGTAGAACTTCTTTTATTGGGGAGAAGATGACACCTCTTGTGGTAAACTAGCATTCAACACTTGGTAATGCTTCTCCTGTGACTTTGCAGGATTTACTGTCTTAGCAAACATTTTATAGTTATACAGCAAACATTACCTTATAACATGGGATACAGATATGATAAGTAGGATCAATACATGCCACATCCTGCAAGCATTCCATAAGTCTAACCACTAAACACACTTTTAGAATTCTAATATCTTGTTTAATAATACTAAAACACAGGTGAGCCAGACTGGTTTCCAGCTTTGCATTTTCAGTATTCAGTAAAGTCTGGGGGCCTTGGCATCAGCTGGCATCTTGTCTGCCAGTGTCACAGTAGGAATGGACCTTTTCACTGCGAACTACTGCATTATTATAGACTACTATTCAGACACAAAAGAACAGTCCTCCCAAACCCAGAGGAAATCTCCTTAGTTGCCAAGAAAGTTGAGTTAAAAAAAATTGTTGGTATCTACATGGTAATATAGACTTTATGAGGGGTATAATAGAAGGATAAGTATGTAAGCAGATTATGATATTCTTATTTAGTTCTGCTATCTTAAATGTGAAACGGAAGGGATGTTAAGATAAATAGCTTCCCAGCAAGGGCTACTATTGTATGACTATATCTAGGAACTTAGAGAACTCTACTTTCAGGAAGTGCTTGATGAGTGATAACAGTGTATGTGGAGGAAGGCCTAAACCCTGAATGTTGCATTCTCTCTTTATGCTTGCACACAGAACAAGAGGTTTTTATGTGTGGACAGGAGGAAGATTGAGAGCAACACCCAAGTAAAAGCCTAGGTGAACACTGCAGTGAAACAATACCGTAAGAGAGCTTGCAAATTGCATTATTCATACTTTCTGATTATGTCCTTTTTTTGTACAAACAAACCCCTTTCTCTAATAACTAAGGCCTTTTCTACACTACAGAGTTCTGTTGACAAAAGTCAGCTTTCGTCGACAAGCAGTGGAGGTGTACACCTTACAATGCCCCTTGGTCAAAATTGTCCCGCTTTGCCAACAAAATAAAACCACCTCAACGGGAGGTGTAAAGCCTTTTGCAGAAAAGTTATATTGACAAAGTGTCAGTGTAGACACTGTGCTTGCTTATGTGGCCATAAATGGCCTCCAGGAGGTGTCCCACAATGCCCATCCTTACCACTCTGGTCAGCAGTTAGAACTCTACTGCCCTGCACCCAAGTACACAGGCACCCACCCTTTCCCCTTAAAGGTGCAGGAATTTTTGAAATTCCACTTCCTATTTGCTTGGCATGGAGAGTTCATATTGCATCTTCCCAGCTGACCATGGTGGCTCCACACACCAAACTCTCTCCCATTTGGAGCACACTGGAGCTGTTGAATCTGCTGAGTATATGGGGAGAGGAGGCTGTGCAGTCCCAGCTCCGCTCGAGCCGTAGGAGTTTCGATACCTATGATCAGATTTCCCATGGCATGTTGGATGAGGGCTACAAACGGGACATGCAGCAGCACTGTGTGAAGATCAAGGAGTTGAGGCAGGTGTACCAGAAGGCAAGGGAGTCAAACCATCGCTCTGGTGCTGTGCCGAAGACCTGATGCTTCTATAAGGAACTGGACACCATCCTTGGTCGTGACCCCACCTCCACTGCCAAGAGCCCCATGGATACTTCGGCTGGACTGGAGACAGTGGACAGAGGACTCAACACGAGGATGAAGTCATGAACAAGGAGGTTGAGTTGGAGGACAAGATGGGACAAGCAACAGGGATCCAGGACCTCTTCTTGACCCCAGAAAGTTTGAGCCAGTCCCAGAACTCTGTCTCTGGCACACATGATGCAGGAGAGGGGAGCTCTAGTAAATAGTGTCTTAGAGCATCAACTCTAAAAGATCATCTTTATCAGGACTGCTAACTGAAATATCTGACAGCTGGCTCTTCCCCATCAGCTACCTATATGTCTTGCCTACCTATCCTGGCCCTCTGCCTTGGTCACATCCTAGGGCAGAAGGATCCTGGCTGTGCAAGACCAACTAAAGATCCCCATGCCACTACTAATTGCTTCTGGCTCTGCGTCATGCCAGAAATAACTCGTTAACCCTTAAGAAATTTCATGCATGTTGGAAATGGTGATTTAAAAGATTCTGGAATGTTGCGCTACTGCTTCCTTTTACTGTAAATTTTCTCTTTTAAAATACGTGTTCAGGTGAATCATTTTGCTATAATATCTAGCACCTACCTACCAGTGAGAATGGAAAATGGGAGCATTACCTAGCTTTCCATATTGCTAAGGCACACCAAACATGAATCAGCAAGGCTAATCAAAAAGCATTTATGATGATATTATTTATGCACACCATATACTTAGCTTGACCAAAAGTATTTGGTAACTTTCAAATATTTTAATAGCAAACAAGGTAAAGAAAACACAAAACTGAAACCATTTTTACCAGTCAACATTGTCCTGATTCACCGTTATTTAGGTTTTTAAAAATGTCTTTAACTTCAATAGGACTACAGGGTTGAAATAAAGAAAAAAGCTCAAGATCTTTAAAAAGTCTCTTGACAGGAGGCACTTGATATCTCTCTCATTTTGCCTGCATCTGCTCTGTGGAGGTAAAATGACTCAGCACACCATACACTTCTCAGCAGGGAGGTTGGCAAACCCACTTCTTGTTCTTAGATTTTCCTATCACCTAAGTCCAGCTGTTTATAGAATGTGCCTACTCTCAAAATTCTCTTGAATCCCAGAGCCTTAAAACAAATAATGTCCACTAACCAATATTGGAAATGTAAAATAGAAGTGAGTGCATCATTCATACAGTAAATACAAGGGGGAACGACAGAATAATAACCTTATTCCAGAAATTACATTTTAAAAAAATAAACCTAATACCAATTATATTACAAGCAATATCTATTTGTTTCTTTATGCACACAGTGGTATTGTAGCCGTGTCGGCCCAGGATATTAGAGACACAAGGCAGGTGAGGTGGAATTTTTATTGCACCAACTTCTGTTGGCAAGAAAGACCAAGATTTGAGATCTAAGTAAGCTTGAAAGTTGGTCCAGTAAAAGATATTACCTCACCCACTTTCTCTCTCTTGGCTCTCTTTACTGCACACCATTTTCAAGAGCTCATCAGAAGTAGGGTTTTTTTTGTTTTTTTGGGGGGTTTTTTTTGTTTGTTTTTTAGATAGCAGCATAAATCACTGCGGGACAGAAGAAAAGAAAGTAAATCGGACCAAAAAACTTCACTGCCAATATGGAAATCCCCCATATTACCTGCAGTTTGGAATCTGAGGAGAACATCTCATCTGTATTTCTCCAAACCCAAGTGCAAGCATACAGCAGATAGAGCGTGTTTCTTCTTGTGAGACAAAAATTTCAGAAGAAAGCACCGATTGCAGATTAAGATTTCATTTAATGATTAATGTTCTCCTCTTTGTTGAATTTCCAGTATTTGTTCGTTTTATTCCAGTTCTGTACCTGTAGCTACAACTTACTATAACTCCCATAACAACATCTTTAACCAAGGATTTTAACCACTAAAAATTCTTCTAGATCATTATTCAAGCTTGTTTAAACCATTAGTTTTAATAATGTATACACTGCTGTGCAAGTGAAGTGTCAAATAATTAAAGAGATTTACTACTGATAAGGGATTTGGCACCGTCCTTTGTAGATGACAACTCTGAGGAATTGTCACAGATTGAAGTGTCATTAGAGGAGGTTTTGGAATTAATTGATAAACTTAACAGTAACAAGTCACCAGGACCAGATGGCATTCACCCAAGAGTTCTGAAAGAACTCAAATGTGAAATTGCGGAACTATTAACTATGGTTTGTAACCTGTCCTTTAAATCATACAGACTGGTAAGTCTAACATCAATACCGGGCAAATTAGTTGAAATAATAGTAAAGACTAAAATTGTCAGATGCACAGAAGAACATAAATTGTTGGGCAAAAGTCAACATGGTTTCTGTAAAGGGAAATCATGTCTTACTAATCTATTAGAGTTCTTTGAGGGGGTCAACAAACATGTGGACAAGGGGGATCCAGTGGACATAGTATACTTAGATTTCCAGAAAGTCTTTGACAAGGTCCCTCACCAAAGGCTCTTATGTAAATTAAGTTGTCATGGGATAAGAGGGAAATCCTTTCATGGATTGAGAATTGGTTAAAAGGCAGGGAACAAATGGTAGGAATAAATGGTCAGTTTTCAGAATGGAGAGAGGTAACTAGTGGTGTTCCCCAAGGGTCAGTCCTAGGCCCAATCCTATTCAACTTATTCATAAATGATCTGGAGAAAGGGGTAAACAGTGAAGTGGCAAAGTTTGCAGATGATATTAAACTGTTCAAGATAGTTAAGACCAAAGCAGACTGTGAAGAACTTCAAAAAGATCTCACAAAACTAAGTGATTGGGCAATAAAATGGCAAATGAAATTTAATGTGGATAAATGTAAAGTAATGCACATGGGGAAAAAATAACCCAACTATATATACAATATGATGGGGGCTAATTTAGCTGCAACTAATCAGGAAAGAGATCTTGGAGTCAAAAACAGACTCCAACGAGAGACTGCTGAATTGGAATTAATTTGCAAACTGGATACAATTAACTTAGGCTTGAATAGAGACTGGGAGTGGATGTGTCATTACACAAAGTAAAACTATTTCCCCATGTTTATTTCCCCCACACCCCACTGCTCCTCCGACGTTCCTGTTAACTGCTGGAAATGGCCCACCTTGATTATCACTACAAAAGGTTTTCTCCCCCCAGCTCTCCTGCTGGTAATAGCTCATCTTAAGTGATCACTCTCCTTACAGTGTGTATGATAACAGCCATTTTTTTTCATGTTCTGTGTGTATATAAATCTCCTCACTGTATTTTCCACTGAATGCATTCCATGAAGTGAGCTGTAGCTCACGAAAGCTTATGCTCAGATAAATTGGTTAGTCTCTAAGGTGCCAAAGTACTCTTTTTCTTCTTGGAGTCATCGTAGATAGTTCTCTGAAGACATCCACGCAGTGTGCAGCGGCAGTCAAAAAAGCGAACAGGATGTTAGGAATCATTAAAAAAGGGATAGAGAATAAGATGGAGACTATCTTATTGCCCTTGAATACTGTGCAGAGATGTGGTCTCATCTCAAAAAAGATATAGTGGCATTAGAAAAGGTTCAGAGAAGGGCAACTAAAATGATTAGGGGTGTGGAATGGATCCCAAATGAGGAGATTAAAGAGGCTAGGATTTTTCAGCTTGGAAAAGAGGAGACTAAGGGGGTATATGATAGAGGTATATAAAATCATGAGTGGTGTTGAACATGAGTCTTAAGTTATGTGAGGCTTTGTGAACTATTCCTTACGTGGCAGAAAGTCAGGCAGGAGTGAGCTGAAGGTTATATGAGGAAGCTTGACAGAGAAGCAGATAGAGTAGTTTTAGGGTAAGTACAGTTTTCCTCATTTTAATAAAGCTTCTAGTTCAAGGTCAGAAGGAGAACCGGTTGAACACTTGAAAAAAATTCTTGAGAATTTAAAAAATTTCAAATACATTCTGTTAGTTTTTGAAATAGACTATATTTTCATTTTCTGGGTTTTTGTTGGATTTTTTTAACAGAATTTTTCTTGTTTACAAAATGGGTTTGTTTGTTTTTTGTTTTTGAATGAAAACTTTCAAAATCAAAATGTGTCAGTTCAGAAAGGGAAAATTTAAAAAATAAGTTTTTTGACTTTGGAAAAAAAAATCCTTCCTTACAACTAAGTTGACCATGCAAAACTACCATCATCACAAAAAATCACCATATTTACCATTAATTGGTACCCAGGTTGGCTGTCTTTACTGAATGAGTATAGAGACAGAGCTACCTTTATATCCTTCTCATCAGGCTTGAGCCTCATTGGTGAGGCAGCATGGGAAAGCTTGCCCTGCCACAGCCTAAGCTGTATCTTTTCTGTGGATAAATAGGAATCTCTGTTTATATTGTGTCATTCTGATAACTTAAAAACAAAAACAAAAACAATTTTTTTTTAAAAGTGGAAAGGGAAAAAAAGACATTCTCAAGTTGAAATCTTGGAATGTACATTTTCAGAGAGGACAGAAAGTACTACAGAATTAGGAGTCCCTGTCAGTCTCAAAGGGGCTCAAACAACAGAAGCAGAATTATTTATTGACTCAGTAACACAATGGATCATCAAGGGAGAGAAGTTTTTCAGAGCCATTGGCCCCACCAGTAGTCGATCTGGTAACATTCCCCCCACAAGAACTTCTACTCCCATAGTTCCTTGAGTCCCAGCTCAGCAGCCACCAGAAGTTACAGAGACCCCCACCCATGGCTAACTGCCTTTTCCCCAGAAAACTCTTTCCCTGCCAAAAGTCAGCAAAAGATTAAATGACTTGCTCAGAAGTGAGGCACAGCCTCTAGAGGTTTCTCGGAAAATCATTTTCAGAACAAGACAGATATTTACAAAGACAGAATGCCAGGAATTCCAATACATTTCCAAAAGCAAACTCCATATTTTTTTTTCCTATTTAGTGTGTTTATTTTCTGTTCGTGTAAGGCCTCATCTACAGTACAAAGT